CCTTGGTAAGATTTATTCACAAATATTTTATCTTTTTGTTGTTGTTGTTGTTGTTATGTGCCATCGAGTCATCTCCAACTCATAGCGACCCCTCCTTGGGTTTCCAAGGCGGTATCTCTATGGAAGTAGATTGCCCAATCTTCCTTCTGAGGAGCGGCTGGTGGGTTTGAATTGTATTGATTTCCTTGTTTCCTTTTCAGAGATCTCTTTGCCTTGTGTAGAGGCATCCAACTGATTTTTGTATGTTGATTTTGTATCCTACCACTATGCTAAATCTTTCAATTAGCTCCAGTAGTTTTCTTGCTAAGTCTCTTGGGTTTTCTATGTATAGGATCATATCATTTGCAAATAGAGATAATTTTGCTTCTTTTTTACCAAGGTATATGCCTTTTATTTCCCTTTCTTACCTTATTGCTCTGGCTAGGACTTCCAATACAATACTGAATAGAAGTGGTGATAGAGGGCATTCTTGTCTGGTTCCTGTTTGTAAGGGGAATGGTTTCAGTCTCTCTCACTTGAGAATAATGTTGGCTGTAAATTTTGTATATATGACCTTTATTGTGTTGAGGAATTTCCCTTCTATTCCTGTTTTTCTGAGAGCTTTTTATCAGAAATGGATGTTGGATTTTATCAAATGCCTTTTCTGCATTGATTGATATGATAATGTGGTTATTTCCTTTATTTTACTTATGTGATGGATTACATTGATTGTTTTCCTAATGTTGAACCATCCTTGCATTAAAAAAAACCAAGCCGATTTAACTCATAGCAACCCCTCCTTGGGTTTCTGAGGCGGTATCACTATAGAAGTGGATTGCCCAATCTTCTTTCTGAGGAGTGGCTGGTGGGTTTGAAATGCCAGCCTTCTGGTTAGCAGTCAAGTGCCATAGGCACTACGCCACCACAGCTCCCATGAATTCCCTTTGGTCATGATATATTTTTTTAATATGTTGTTAGAGTCCTTTAGCAAGAATTTTGTTGAAAATTTTTTCATGTATATTCATAAGGGATCTTGGTGTAGTTTTCCTTTTTAGTGATGTATTTGCCTGATTTTGGTATCAGAGTTATGCTTGCTTCATAAAATGAATTTGGAAAGATTGCATACTTTTCTGTGTTCTGGAATAGTTTGAGTAGGATTGGTGTCAGCTCTTCTCTGAATGTTTAGCAGAATTCTGCAGTGAAACTGTCTGGGCCAGGACTTTTTATGTTGGTAGGGTTTTTTTTTTTTTTTTTTTAATTACTTGTTCATTTTCTTCTTTTGTTATAAATCTGTTGAGATTTTCTACCTCAGTCTGTGTTAGTTTAGGTAAGTAGTGAGTTTCTAGAAATCCATCCATTTCCTTTAGATTTTAAAATTTGTTGGAATGCAGTTCTTCATAGTATCCTGATATTATCCCTTTTATTTTGGTTGGTTCTGTTGGAATGTAGTCCTGGCCTTGTTTTGGCCGATGTTATTGAGCTTCTTCATCACTTCTTTCCACAGATGTAGTTGATCTGATTACTCAGTATTCCATAAGGTGAGGTCCACATGTATAGCTGCCATTTATGTTGCTGATAAAAGATATATGCAATGAATTAAGTCACTGGTCTTGCAAAATTCAATCATGCAATCTCCAGCATCATTTCTATCACCAAGGTTATATTTTCCAACTACTGAAGCTGCTTCTTTGTTTCCAACTTTCATATTCCAATCACCAGTAATTATGAATACATCTTAATTGCATTTAGATCAATTTCAGACTGCAGAAGTTGCTAAAAATCTTCAATTTCTTCATCTTTGGCTGTAATGGTAAGTAAATCTGAATAATAGCATTAACTGGTCTTCCATGTCCATGTATGGATATTATCCTATCACTAAACAGTACTCTACTTCAGGATAGATCTCAATATGTTCTTGCTAATTGTTGCTAGTAGCTGTCCAGTTAACTGCGATTCATGGTGACCCTATGTATAACAGAATGTAACATTTCCTGGCCCTATGCCATTTTCACCATCACTGAAATGTTAGAGTCCATTGTTGTGGCTATGAATGGATCTCTAGGCAAGGAGAATTAAGGAGCTTTGGTGGTGTAGTGGATAAGGCATTTGGCTGCTAACCAGAAGGTCAGCAGTTCAAACTCACTAGCTGCTCTGTAGAAGGAAGATGGGACTATCTACTTCTGTAAAGATTTACAGCCTTGGAAACCCAACAGGGGTCACTTGAGTTGATTTTTTGGTTTAGCATCAAAAAAGAATACCAAGTAGAGATAATGCGATACCTCATGAAAGAACCCACCTACAGTCTTGCCAAGGGGATCAAAACTGAGTCTGATCCAGCCTCTGATCCAGCTGCCAATTTGCAAGATGTAGAGGGAACAGCGGAGCACACTGAACTGCAGTGTGTATGATCAGCAACATCAGACTGTGGGAGACTAAGTTAAGGGCAAATGACTTGGGACTTTATAGATATGAGGAAAAGAAAGGGAAACCAAGAGATTTAAAAAACATCAAAAAAATTTTTTTAAATGGCCAGACTATAGTATCTATTGATGCAGATTCAGGTGATTAAGTCAGAAAGAAACACAAGGAATGATTAGTATAAAAGTGTGTATGGGGGTGTTTTTGAACAGAGGGAGAGCAGGGGCCAGAATGAGCACTGGAGGAGGGGCTTCTGAGGCGGCTGGAAAGTTCTTTCTTGATATGAGTTCTGGTTACAAAGGGTTGACATTAAAATAATTGATTAAACTATATATTTCTTTCATGCAGCCTCTGATAATGTTTTAGTTTTTTTAAAAAAAAAGATTTTAAAAAATAGACTACAGAGAGAAAAAAGTTTGAGGATTCCTGTGTTTTAAAAATAGAATGCTAGTCTATTAAAAATGTTTATTAAGGCCTAGGGCCTCTGTTCCTTGTCATAAAATTAAAAATATCTTCTTGGTGTTGGTGTCACAAAGATGAATATAATCTCATTGGAAAACAACTTGGTCACTCAAACAGACTAACAAACAATAGCCACATGCTTTATATTAATAATGAACAATCTCAGGTCCTTGTCATCTGAGCCTGGTATCTCGCTATAACCTATATGCCTTCACTGTAACAAGAGAAGCTTGGGTGAAATGATTTCCAAGGTCTTTCCTAATTCTGTAAATCTGATTATCACTCCCATGTTATAAAATGGAAGCTGCCCTTTTCTCAGTGTATGGAAAGATACTGAAGTCTATCTTTCTCTGCCATGAGGTCCCCTCGTCTGTGAGGGTCTCTCCTTCACTGTTGCTTATCTCTGGAAATGCACACATCAGTGGGGTGCTGGTTAAATAAATGTGGTACAACTGAACTGCAATGTCATTTGAAAGGATGAACTGGACTTGTATTACTTATATTTTGGAAAAGTTTCAAGATGAGAGAAAAAAGATGCATTTTGAAACAGTATATGCTGTGTAACATAAGAGTTAAAAAAAAATTCTGTGGAAATATTCACCTAACATTAGTTTTCTCCAGGGAGTAGAATCTGAAGGATGGGAAATGATATGGGAGAAAAAGGGAAATTTTACCTTTTTATCTGTTATATTTTTGCTCAGTTGCTTATTTTTTTTAATTGAAGAATAACAGTGTGTGTGTGTGTGTGTGCATATGTGTATATATATATATATATAGTAAAATGTACAGCTTGATGAATTTTCACAAGTGAATAATCAACGCCCGGATTACCAATCAGAATAGCCCCAAACCAAAAACCAAACTCACTGCCATTAAGTTGTTTCTGACTCATAGTGACTCCTGTTGGGTTTCCAAGCCTATAAATCTTTAAGGAATCAGAGTGCTTCATCTTTCCTCAAACCACCAACCATATAGTGAGTTGAGAGTGGGTTAAGAAGTTCCTGGGTGGTCCAAATAATTAAAGCTTTTAGGCTGCTAGCCAAACATCCAAAATGTCTGAACATCACCACCACCAGAGCTCCTTAAGAACAGCCCCAGACCCCAGAAACTTCCTCCTATCTTTTTCAGTATTAACCCACCAAAGGTATTTCCCCATTATCTTTATTCCTAACTGTGCTGTTAACTTTTTATGATTAATATATGAAAAATTCTACAGTATAAAACATTAAAAGTATTAACCAAAGTAAGAATTTTATTTCTTTATTCAGCAACATAAAGATAGAACCTATTCTTTAAAAAATAAAAATAAAACAAGCAACCAAACAAAACAACAACAGTTGTCGTCCAGCCAACTTTGACTCTTGGCAACCCCATGTGTGTCCAAGTAGAACTGTGCTCTAGACAGATTACTGAAGTAGATTGCCAGGTCTCTCTTCTGAAGTGCCTCTGGGTTGACTTGAACCTCCAACTGTTTGGCTAGCAGCCTAAAAGCTTTAATTATTTGGACCACCCAGGAACTTCTTAACCCACTCTCAACTCACTGTCCTTGAGCGGGACCCAACTCATAGCGACCTCTCCTCGGCTTTCCGAGGCCGTGTCACTACAGAAGTAGATTGCCCAACCTTCCTTCCAAGGCGTGGCTGGTGGGTTTGAACCACTAGCCTTCTGGTTAGCAGTCAAATGCCTTAGGCACTACACTACCAGAGCTCCTATTCTAGGAATGCAAAAATAAACGTTAGTCCCCAACTCCAATGGGTTCACAGACAATTATGTAACAGTTTTCTAGTAGGAATATACATCCAGTGCTTTCAGTTTAAGGGACTTCTGGAGGAAGCAGAGGGAAGAAACACAGCAAAGCAGGGCTGTAAAGGATCGGAAGGAGCTCGCTGTCATCAGTTATAAAATGCAAAAGAGCCAGAAGGAAATGCTGTCAGGGAACACAAATGAAAACTTGCTCTTTAAGAAACCAGTTTATGGGACGGCCAGGCACCTGCTGAATCCTACCAGGTTTGGTTTCTGAAGCCATCAATCAGCATGACATCGTTGCTGATTGGGTTACCTGGGCTGTTTGCAGCTGGCAGGTGTGTAATGAGGAAGGACAAGTACTGCTACATCTCCCGGGTAGCCTGGAGGCTTGAGACATGCGGTGCCCTGAGGCCGGAAAGCCTATAATTAAATTCAATCACTGCCAGAAATATATCTACAGCTTCAGTGTGCCGGAGCGCTGCCCCCTCTGCCAGCAGGACGTGGGCTCGAGTAAGCTGGAGGAAGCCCCTGTCAGCATCTCTAACCCCTTTACCAATGGCCATCAAGAGAAATGTACCTTCCTCCTCAGACCAACTCAGGGGACCTTTCTTAGGTACAGTTTTTTGTTTTGTTTTTTTAAATTTTTTAAAAAGTGTTACATTGATTGTGTAAACATTTCCAACTGTGTCTTTAACATGAAAACTCTCTTTTCCTGACGTGTGCTCGTGTGCTCGACAGTATAAAGTTTCGTGAACACTTTCCATTGTTTTGACCTTACATCCCGAGAGGCAGGCCCACTTGCTTGATAAAAATAGATGGAGGGCACATTCTTTCTTGGAATGACAAGTATAAAGAAATAAGAAAAACATGGGCAAACTTGCTTACACAATTTTAAGAGAGAAAAAACGACAGCCTGAAGATTTTCTACCTGTAGATTTTGTGTTCAGAGGCTAACAGGGAAAATGATCCAACCACCAATCATATTCAAATAATACCTCCCCTGCCAGTTTGTTTGTAATATCTGTAACAAAAAGGTACAATGCACAAAGCCTGAAGAATGGCCACTTATATTTTGCACAAGACTTCACCAACTAAAAAGGAAAAAACCTGGCCACTTTTATGTGGCAGAGGACAAACTGAAGATTGTCCTGATTTATTTCAATTGTAGGTGCCATCTGGCTTTCATTAAGAAAGACTTCAGAAATCAAAAGAAATGTATCTCTTTATTGTCCAGAGTCTCTGGATGGTGCAAACGGTTAACATGCTCAGCTGCATATTTGAAGGTTGAGGTCCTTCAAAAGAAAGGCCTGGTGATCTACTTCCAAAAAATCAGCATTAAAAACCCTACAGAGCACAGTTCAAACCTGACACACACGGGGTTGCCATGAATTGGAGCTGATTGGATGGCAAATAGTTGGTTTCGAATTTACAAATGGAATTCGGAAGGGCCCCATATAAGCTAGTTTTTACAAGAGCATGGGGGTGTTATAGGGGGTGGGGTTCAGTGATTGCTGTATGCTTTATCAAGTGTATTCATGTGTACCCTTACTATCTAATGTGGAGACCGTCCTTGCTGTCTTAAAATCCACCCCTAACCCTTCCCTGACTTCAACAGCACTGGATTGGGGATCTGAGGACTGGAGTCCTCACGTCCCTGCTTCCTAACCTGGATCGATTTCCTTGGGGTCCCCTTGAAGATGAAGTGAACCAAAGTGACTGAAGTTTCCGAGACCAATTGTGTTAGAGCAAATTGCCCCTGACCTTTCCTGGGGAGGCAGAAGACAGTGCTGTCTTTGGTGCCATGACACCCTCTATTCCTATCCTGTTGGTTCTGCTAAGCAGCTCTGTGACTCCCTCTGGGTCTCTGGTGTGGTGCTGCATCTGTAAAATGGGGACTCAGGGACCTTGCGGGAGTTGTGAGGGTTAGTGAAAAGGCATGTGAACCTGGCCCAAGCGTCAGTTACATGTTGAGCCAACACGCTCCTTCCTGTCCTATTCTCCTCATACTCAGTTCAGACTGTAACTCCCCAGCCTGGCAGAACCTTCATGTCCATCTTTCTTAGAATCACAAAGCCCCAAAGTGTTTTAGAAGAGCACCTCATTCGTGCTAACTTTAAGTAATTAACTGGTTGGATTCCAAAAGCTTTTGCACGACTTAGTTAAAATTTGAAATTCATTTGCCATAACATTGGTTTGTTTACCCAGCAGCTGTGTGGGAAATGCCACAGTGAACAAGCCACAGCCCTGCTGTCAAGAAACTGACAACACTGCATTGATTTGTTCATGATGTGATGGGGATACTGATGGCCTGGTCTCCATTCTAGCTCTGGGAATAGGCGCCATTAGCATGGGCAGAAGGTGTTGTTGTAGCAGGTCATATACTTTGGCTTTCTCAGCCCCACAGGTCAGGGGCTGAAAAACCCCCAAGACTGACCCTCTAAAGCCTCCAAGTTCCAAGGTATTTCCTTTCCTCTGATCCACATTTCCAAACCCCTCAGTACAACCAAGAACACAATTTGATGGGTTCAGGTTCACTCTGAGTTACAAATGACTGAAGCCCACAACTCACTTTGAGACAATTCTATGCATTTTGTAAAAGAGAATGAGCCATGATACAAAGGCATCACTGACTCTGCTCCAGTTAGGTTAGGATCCCTCTGGCCTTCCACATATGGCTGTGCAGGCTGCAGACTTTATAAAGCTCCTGGTGCTGCTCTCCACTCCTGAGCCAAGCACCCTGTGGAGAGCTGCGTCTGCAGGCAGAGAGGCACCCTGTCGTGATTTGTACAAAGCTGCCCTGCCCCTGACCCTATCGTGCTTCTATAACATTCTCCAGCAAAACCTGCAAAGGTGGAACCTGTGTAAGGTGGCAACCTGTCAGAGAAGGAAAACTCAAATATTTCCCATAACTAGAGTGATAGAAAACTGATGACTGTACCCTGCGAAAGGCAGAAAACATGCAAGGCCTGGAAAAACGAGTCATTCCTCTCGACTTGTGGCTCTCACAGGTTTCACTGTGTATCTTTTTCTCTTTATAGCACTTACCAAACTATTAAGAATGTGCTAAAGTACAGCTAAAATGTCTTCTCTGGAAGCAAGTGAATACTGTGAAGGCAGAGACCTCATCTCATTCCCTGTTATGTCCCTACATTCACTTGCCAAAACAACAGGCCCAAGTCATTCAAAGTAGCTATTGTATGAATGAGACATAAATGAAGGAAAGGAGGGCGGGCGGGCCTTGGATTTAGGAGGGTAACAAAGTGCCAATGAGGGCACTGAAGCAGTGGGAACAGGGCCAAGATTCTTCCTTTCTCCAGATTCATTCTCAACCTCTGGACCCATGGGATTTTAAAGAGCCCAAAGTTGGATACAACCAAATGGCCTGGGGGACTCCCACTGAATAAGATGGGCAGCCATTTGTGTCCATGGCCATTTAGAGCCTGGCACTGCCTCCCCCCACCCGCACCTGCAATGAGGTGACTGTATTCACTGCATCAAATATATAATTATAATCTTTATAATTAAACAATCAGTTATTATTTCGTCACCTCCAACTCGTGGTGACTGCATGTGTGTCAGGGTACAGCTGTGTTCTACAGTTTCAGTGACTGGTTTTTTGGAAGTAGATCACCAGGCCTTTCTTCTGATGCTCCTCTGGGTGGACTCTAACCTCAACCTTTCAGCTCGACCATCTGTATAACCCAGGAATGATTTTAAATTACTTTGGATTTATTTGACACCAATTTGTGGTAGGCACCCTCCAGGCATTTCATTCTCATAGCCAGCTTGCTAGGACATTCATGCTAATCCCAATTTACAGATGAGGAAGCTGTGATCAGAATGAGTAAATGACTTCCCAGTGTCCCAGGGCTAGTAAGTGATGGTCTGGGGTTGTGTATAAAGATCAAATTATACTGAGTTATACATTTAATGCAGTTGAATAAAGAATAATTTCAGGAAATGGTCTGTCTAGGAAAATTGGGTGTGAGTACAGACTACAGCACCCCATAGGTTAGTTTAGTTTTCAATGCTGTGCTCTACTGAGATGCATCCAGGATTTCACCACCCATATTAGTTTTGAGGACCAGGCTGTAACAAGGAGTTTCTTCAATCACTGACATTGGTATAGCTCCTCTGCTGTGGTTCTAGAGGGACAGGTTATGCTGAATGTCTGCTCTAGCAGGGCTGGCCTTTAGTATTGTGCCAAATGTGTGCAAAAGGAGAAAAAATACTTTTATTTTATTTTTTTCAGGGAGTATGATGGAAGGTCTGATCTTCATGTTGGAATAACCAACACAAATGGTGAGTCCATTTTCATAGTTTTTTTTTTTTTTTTTTAAACAACAAACCAACCAACCCAGTGAGAGGAGAACAGTACCTCTAGAGAAAACGTGGTCGCAGCAGCGTGTGTTGAGTTGAACCACTGCACATGAGGTGGGCATCACTACCCCCAAAATGAGGAAAATCTGACCTTATAGCAAGTTATTCCCACTAACAATACTAAATATTTGAAAGCTCTTTAGTATTTTCTCAACGAAGAGCCCTGCAAACCTAAGAAGTTTTTTGTTTGCTTTTTAACAGAGGAAGAAACCGATGTTCAGAGAGGTTGACTTGACTAAGACCTTATCTTGAGTCCGAATCAAAATGTTTGGCCCTCTGATGCCCCTGCCTTGCACAGAGCCCCTGCATCCTGTCACTCCAGACCCTTTAGAGGCTAGTCAGGGCCTTCAGGAGTTAAACAGGGGCTATAATACCTTAGGATGTGGTGGGCCTACAGTAGTATGTCTAAAACAAAGCAGCAGCAGGTGAAGATTAATCAGTAGTTCCTTTGACCAGATTTAGCTCTAGGGGTGCTGAGTCTGCAACCACTAGCAAACCAGGAAACATCCTTGTCCACATGAAAAGAGTGTGGGTGTAGCCACTGGTAGGGAATAGGAGGCCAAAGAATGGTCAGCCATGTGCACCAGATGAGCCAGGTTCTCAGGCCTGAGTTCAGTCGGCTTATGGCCTTTCCTTACCCCCTGGAAGCCAAGAGAAACTAACTCTGTGAACAGAAACCTAGAACTGGTTTTTCAAATTTAGATTTACCCACATGAGCAGCAAATTTACCACCCGTCTTTATCAGAGAAAATTTATTGCTGATTTAAGGAAATGTGATAGAAGGATTTGTAAACAGAGAACTTCAACAAAAATATTTGGAGATGATTATCCTGGCGCCTAGTATGGTCTCAGCTTCCTGGGGGCCACTACAGAGCACACTGAATAGCAGGTAGAGCCAGACTTGGGTTTACCTGGATGAAATGTTTACTGAGAGAAGGGAGGCAGAGGCTTAGTGTGCCTGCCCCACCCCCAACCCCTTCCCCACTCCAGGTGAAATCATATCTCAATCTCATTAGGAGTATGGCTGCCTGCCATATTTAATGATCTCCAAGGAAGGGGATTCTAAGCATCTCTCATGGGCCCACTGCTCTTTGGCATAATCTCAAAGTGCAACCTGGGCTTATGTTATGTAAAATTACCACCCTGGCTACTGAACCCACCAGCCATTCCTTAGAAGGAAGATGGGGCAATCTACTTCTGTAGTGATACTGCCTCGGAAACCAAGGGGGGGGGGTCGCTATGAGTTGGGTCCAACTTGATGGCAGTGAGTTTGGTTATGTAACAGGTGCATTTGTTCTTAAGCTTCCCAATGACTTTGTTTTTTGGTTTATAGGAGTTGTGTATAATTACAACATACAAGGTGTCCACCGAGATGAAGCAGGGTGGGAACAGAGTATAAGTATCCCATTATTGCAGCCCAACATGTATGGACTAATGGACCAATGGGACAGGTACCTGGAGGAATTCTCAAACTTGGGGGCATGGCTGCCTCACAGGTATGTGGCTCGGAAGACCAGCACTCACTGATGCAATTGTGTGAGGACTCAAAACTTCATTTGGCTTCATGTTGAGCCCATAGTGATATGTTAGTCTGTAACAGAATCTAAAACCAAAAAAACCCAAACTCACTGCCATAGAGTGAATCCAACTCATAGTGACCTTGCCTTGGGTTTCACTAGAGAAGTAGATTGCCCAACCTTCCTTCTGAGGAGTGGCTGGTGGGTTTGAATGGCCAGCCTTCTGGTTAGCAGTCAAGTGCCTTAGGCACAATGCTATCAGAGCTCCTAACAGAATCTAAAGGGGTTGAATAACTTGGATTTCTGTGGAGATGAGTCAGCATAAATATACACAACAAAACTGAAGCATTTTAAGAGCTGACAGAATCAGAATCCAATACCCTATTTAGTTATTTCAGTAATTTGACTAGGTACACTTAAACACTTAACGTTAAAAAGCACATACAGTAAAAGTCATAACATTATAGTCCCTTTAAACCAAAATTATTAAAAATTATGTTCAAAATGTAAAAGGACTTAAAGTTCTAGTTTTTTGTTTTGTTTTAGCAATTTTGAAATCACCAAATTTCATGATTCCTCTCTTCCTTAACACTTATGTAGTATGAGTGTGATTTAAATAGTTTTGAGGCTTTCCTTGAAATAACTTTGTTGTTTGTTATATGCCGTCAAGTTGACCTTAGGCACTACATAAGCTACCAGAGCTCCCTGAAATAACTTTAGATTACTGGGATATCATAAAATTTAGATTCGGAATTCCACTTCTGGAACGTAGAATCACAAGGAAAATCAAATTCCCCAAATAGGCAGTATCAAGTCACCATTCTGAACATTTTGCTGAGTCCTTCTTATCTAAGAAAGTAGCAAATAGAAAGGGCCCAAGAAGTGAAACTGTCCCTCACTAATTGCACCTCAGGGAAACTTCACAGCCCAAGTAGGCGGTTACCTGGGGGGAAGAGGTATGGCATTTCCTATGTTAGTCCACTTTCAATAACAAAAGTCCTTCCACAGCTTCATGGCCTATTCTTGAGCAGGTTTCAGGTTAAACCTTGTCGCCTCCCTGTCCTTGTCTTATCAGGTATGAGGAAGACCTCCACAATTGCTACAGTTACACCCTCACATTCATTAACTGCATCCTGAGCACAGAGGGCAAAGAACAGCTGAACAAGAACGACTTCACAGAGAAATATGTGCTCCCATGGACAAGGAAGGCCTCCAAGTACATCACACTCTACCGGGCCATAGAAGAGCAGGGCTTCTACGTGACTGATCAGCCCCAGCAAGAGGCAGGCCCTCCCTAAGGAAGCCCTTTGCATGACACAGGACAGCTGGGGGTTTAACTTTAATAGGTACCACAGACTTCCAAATGCATTAAGTCTGTGGTTAATAAAAAGTGGTATGTTCTTTTAAGCATCTGTCAGCTTATCAGATGTGTGTTTACAAAATTAATAAAAATTACTCTGGGTTTTAACAGTTATATGCATTACAATTAAATTATTTTCATAGCAGTTTTTTTAAAAAACAATTGTGCTAAATATCTATGTAACAAAACATTTGCTATTTCAACATTCTTCATGTGTACAATTCAATGATGTTAATTCTGTTCCAGCTCTGGTTTTAAACTGGGACTCCATGTTATAGCATAAAATAGCAGCACTTTTAAGTCACCAAAACAAACAAGAAAACGAAACTCACTGCTGTGGAGTAGCAACTCCTCCTTGGGTTTCTGAGATGGTATCTCTACAGAAGTAGATTGCCCAATCTTCCTTCCGAGGAGTGGCTGGTTGGTTTGAACCACCAGCCTTCTGGTTAGCAGTCACATGCCTTAGGCACTAAGCCACCAGAGCTCCCAACAAATGTCCCTACTCTTGATAAAATCAATGTGGCAGAGTAACACCAATAGATGGCAATGTTGCTCAAATTTGTAGAATTATGAACAGAATCTTTTGACTCCATTTTTTTTCATCATATCAGCTAAATGCTAGATAAAGCCACAAATAGGTTCAGTATTGGCCCAAGCTCTGCTCCTCAGATTGGAGCCTCCGTGTTCTCTCACCACCTCCCAAAGCACACTTCATCTTGTCGTTTAGCACTGCCCTGTACACACAACTGGTACTCAATAAATGCTTATGAAATGAACTCTGAGTCCCTTTTCCTAGCAAGGGCATAGAGTTTGCTTTGATGTCAGTAATCTGAAAGCCTAAATGATCCACACAAAGGTATTTTTCCAAAGCCTTCACGGTGTGCATGGAATACTTTTATAACCAGGAAAACCCAAAAAACATTCCAGGAGGAAGCAAGCCACCATGGCTATATTCAGTACCATTTGAACAAGAGGTGCTTACTGGAGTGTTCCTTGTCCCACTTCTCCTGAGCTATCTTCACTCCTGAAAACAGCTCACCCAAACTAGTTGTTGGGGAGTTGACTCCAACTCCTGACAACCCCACGTGTATCAGAGCAGAACTGTTGCACATGGTTTTGAAAGCTTTTTTTTTTTTTTTTTTGAGTGGATTTACAGGCCTTTCTTCCAAAGCACCCCCGGTGTGCACTAGAACCTCCAACCTTTAGAACTGTTTGTGCAACCCAAGGAGTCCTTTCACTGACAATATTTTTCTATCACCTCCCCTCTTCTCCACTGTCTTCTTTATAAAGGGATAAAATAGGCTTTTCACTCCCTTAAGGAAAATAGTTATGGCTTAGCTACTATGTGCCAGACACTTTCACATTCCATCTCATCTCATTTAGTCTGCAAAACAAATTCAGGAGGTAGTAATGATCCACGCTTTATAGTGGGGAAACTAAGGCTCAGAGGGATTAAGCTACATTCCGAGGTCACCTCCATTTGATCCTAGCTGACCTGGAATTTGGACCCAGGTTTTCTGATTTGACTCTTTCTACGCTATCAGAAGGAGCTCTGGTAGCATAGTGGCTAAAGCACTTGCCTGCTAACCAGCAGGCTGGCGGTTCAAACCCACCAGCCACTCCTCGGAAGGAAGGTTGGGCAATCCTACTTCCGTAGTGATACTGCCTCGGAAACCCAAGGAGGGGTCGCTATGAGTCGGGGCCGACTCGACGGCACATAACAACAACAACAACAACAATGCTATCAGAATGTGCCATTTAAAAGTTAGGGAAGAATCTGCCTTTGAAACCTTTTTTTTTTTTTTTTTTTCTGAATGTTTACATAAGTTTTTTAAAATTTAAAATGCTAGAAATCTTTGTTAAAGGAAGTTATAGTGGATTCGTCTGCAATAAAAAAATTCACTACCTCTTAGTTTTGCAGTTTTACAAATATGCTTATCCATATCGTGTATTCTTAAATGAAGCATCCCTGTATTTCACAATGTTACGTGACTTTAAAATTTTCCCATTTATATATAAAACCAAAATTTTGAGGAAAAAATGGAGGTTAAATCTCTTAATTTTTTAAACATGGGCTTCTGTTACAGTATTTAGGAAGTTAACATTCATGAGATGGTTATCTAAGTCTGATTAGATACTTAAAAATACAGTTGTTGGTAAAATCATAAATGGAAGGTAGGTGGTGGAAAGGAGAGGATGTTCCTCACTAGGGAAAGAACAGATAACCGTATTCAAGAAAACAGTCACTTTCGTTTTTTATTTTTGTTGTTGTTGTTGTTTGTTTTAAAGAAAACAAATATACTTTAACAAAAAATCCAAACCCATTGTCATTGAGTCAATTCCGACTCATAGCTACGCTATAGGACAGAGAACTGCTCCATAGGGTTTCCAAGGCTGTAAATCTCTACTGAAGCAGACTGCCTCCTCCTTCTCCTGCAGAGTGCCCAGTGGGTTGGAACAGTCAACCTTCTGGTTAGCAGCTGAAGGCTTAACCACTTCACCACCAGAGCGCCTTTTAACAATAAAGGTAAAATAAAAGTTTTGTTTGAATTTTGTCTTATTCTTTTAACAGTAGAAGTAAAATAAGACAAAATAATAATTTTTATTCAATAAGTAACAATAAAACTTCAGTTTCATATACTATGCTCAAAAACTTAATTTTTCTGCCTCCTCCCAACTTTTCCAGCTTTCTAAGCCTACCTCAAAGGAGCTCTGGGGACGTAGTGCCTAAGGCATTTGGCTGCTAACTAGAAAGTTGGTGGTTCAAACCTATCAGCTACTCCACCCACCTCAGAAACCCAACAGTGTTTGCTATGAGTTGGAACTGACATTATGGCAGTGAGTTTTGTGGTAAACCTACCTCAAGGTCCCTGTGTGGCACAAATGGTTTATGCTTGACTGTTAACCTAAGGGTTGGCAGCTCAAATCCACACAGCAGCTCCACAGAAGAAAGGCCAAGTGATCTTCTTCCGTAAACATAACAGCCAAGGAAACCTTGTGGAGCTCAGTTCTACTCTGTAATAAAACGCGGCATGGCGTGAGTCGAAATTAATGGCAACAAGTTTTTGGTTTAACCCTACCTACCATGCTACCAGAGCTCCTAAAAACCCTCGTCCCATGCTCACTGGCTTAATGATTGCAAAGTGCTACATAGGAACTAGGAGCTCTGGTAGCATAGTGCCTAAGGCACTTGACTACTAACCAGAAGAAGTGCTACATAGGAACTAGGAGCTCTGGTAGCATAGTGCCTAAGGTACTTGACTACTAACCAGAAGGCTGGCGGTTCAAACCCACCAGCCACTCCTCGGAAGGAAGGTTGGGCAATCGTAGTGATACTGCCTCGGAAACCCAAGGGAGGGGTCGATATGAGTCTGGCCGACTCGACGGCATATAACAACAACATAGGAACTAATTATTGTATAGAGAGAATCTTTTTATGAGAACATAAATGATAAGTCAATGCACAGACATTATCATTTCTCCTTACACATTGAGGATTAGGCCAGAAGATGTTAGCCTATGAAACTGAAAATGAAAGAATCAACACAGACTAATCAATTGCACAAGTAACTGCCTGAACAGATGGTATGAAATTGTGGTTCTTAGGACATGGTGCTGCTTCTTGCCCCACAAAGTGAAACATTGTAGCTACAGCTACACAGCATAGCATATGGGGATCACTGTGTGAATCAACTCACTTGAGCCTCGCAGCAACCCTCTGGGGTCAGTTCATTATTAACTTTTTTAATACACAAGGACACATGCTCCCAAGTCACAGCTAGCAAGTGGACATGTTGAGATGCAAACCTCAGTCTTGCTCCAAACCAAGGAGCCCTTAACCAGCCTGCCTCCCTATCCAATTCCAATCAGGGCAACTGAGGATTTGCTGAAAGCTGGTACCAAAACCAGAGTCTCAAGTTGTTGTTAGGTGCTGTGGAGTTGGTTCTGACTCATAGCAACCCTGTGTACAACCGGATGAAACACTGCCATCCTTGTTGCCATGCTTGAGCCCATCATTGCAGCCACTGTGTCAATCCATCTTGTTGAGGGTCTTCCCCTTTTTCACTGACCCTCTTCTTTACCAAGCATGATACCCTTCTCCAGGGACTGGTCCCTTCTGACAACATGACCAAAGTATGAGAGAGAAGCAGTTTTTAAACCCTGAGAACTATAAGCTGTTAGGGAAGGGCAGGTGTGTGCTTGCAGACCCACTGCTCCCAGGGGCTGGCCTGGCACCTTCCCAGGGTGCCTGTCCCATTCTCTCCTGGGGTCTTCGAGAGGCAGGGTGAAGGTGGCTCATCTCACTCCCTATTGGGCTCTACCAGAAATGGCTCTCCACAAATCTCTTCACCTCTCTTCACTGTGAACAAAGAATGCTTGCATATGTTATCAGATGGGCTTACCAGTTATCAGATGGGCATTTCAGTTCTCAGCCCAGATTTATCTCTAAATGTATTTGAGTAAATTGGCAGTTGTCTCTTACCAAGCTCTTGCCAGTCTGGGGTGGGGTCAGAGTCAGAGTCACTCCTTCTGGGAAAGGAGGGGAGTCTCCATGACATCAGGTGCTTTTGGAGTTACCCTCCTTCATCCACATAACCACTCAGTGAGGTAAATATTATCATCAACTCCATTTTAGAGATAAGAAAACCAAGGTTTATCAAGGGCAACTAAGTGAATCAAGGTCACACAACCACTGGGAGGCTATGCTGAAATGTTACTGGGTTCTTCTCAGAAAGTTCACCCTACTACCCAACCTTCAACAGCACTGTCTCTGGGAAAACAAGTTAAAAACGAAGTACCACACATTGTACTGAGGTTCTTACCCTGGACCCACAGAAGGCCCTCAGGGAGCCTGTGCTCCTTCAGATGCTATTTGCAAAACCCTATACAAGAGCATGTTCCTGGGCAGAGGGGTCTCTGTCCCAGCCCAAGCCTCAGGTGCAGGACCACAGCCTAGCCTAATGCTGATGTCCCCACCGGCCCCTTGTTGGGGGTGCCTTCCTCTTTAACCTCTTTAGTCAAGCCTCTCACAAGGCTGTATTTCAGCCTTCAAGTGCTTTTCTGCTGTGGTGCTACGGGCATTTCTGCTGTGGTGCTCTCAAAAGGCACTGAACAGGGAATGGAGAGCTTGGTGCAGGTCCTCCCTTTATTCCCTATAAAGCAGTGATTGGTGCTGAAGCATGGCCTCAACATCTCTAAGACTCAAACCTCCTTCTGTGAAGAGTCTTAGCCCCTGAAATCACAAGGCTGCTGTGGGGATAAACTAGCATATGCAGAGCTCACTCACTATCTGAGTATTTGCTGTAATGATTTGCAAAAACACTCCATATTGGCTACTCAAATATAACGAGTATGTGAGAGCTTGAGGAAGAACTTGTGCATGTCTGGGCCAGACACATTTGCAGCACAGGCTGCTGTCTTAGCTGATCATGCTTTTGTTCATTTATGGAGTATCATCACATCATCTTCCCCACGTAATTAAGTAAAAGCTACTCTGACAGAAGTGGGAAAGCTCATGAAGGAAGTGGGTGTTTGAGATGCTCATGATATCCCACCCACCACTTGTCTGTCAGTTTCTTGTACTGTGGTGCTTTGCACATTACCATGATGGTGGAAGCTATGCCACTGGTGTTTCAAACCCAAGTAGGGTCCTGCATGGTGGACAGATTTCAGCAGAGCTTCCAGACTAAGAGACTAGGAAGAAAGGCCTGATGATCTCCTATTACCACCCAGTGTTGGCAAGCCGACTGACTCATATTGACTGATAGGACAGAGCAGAGCTGCCTGAAAGGTCTTCCAAGGCTATAATCTTTATGGAAGCAGAGGGTCACATCTTTCTCCCACAGAGTGCCTGGTGGGTTTGAACCACCAACCTTTGGTTAGCAGTTGAGTGCTTAACCACTGCACCATCCAGGTTCCTGATGATCAACTTCTGAAAATAAGCCAATGAAAATTATGGATCACAACAGAATACTGTCCAATATACTGTGGAATATGAGCCCCTCGGTTGGAAGGCATTGCAGATACACGGTGGCTACAACAATGAACTCAAGTGTGATCATGAAGGTGCTGCAGGATTAAGCGACGTTTCCTTCTGCTGCATGTGAAGGCGCCAGGTCAGAGCCAACTTGACGGCAACTAACAGTGACAAAAAAAGTCTCATACGCTAGAACAAGCTAGATAATGTAGTGAGGAAGGTGACTACATGGAAGATATAGTCTTGGACATGCATGAGTTGCCCTTCTTAGGGAATTTTTTGCCTTCGTTGTTGTTACGTGCCGTTGGGTCGGACCTGACTCATAGCAACCCCTCCTTGGGTTTCCGAAGTGGTATCACTGTGGAAGTATATTGCCCAACCTTCCTTCTGAGGAGTGGCTGGTGGGTTTTAACCCCCAGCCTTCAGCAGTCAAATGTCTTAGGCACTAGGGTACTGCCTTGGGTGACAAAATAAAACATGTGGAAGTATCACTGGTTCCACAAGGCTTTCTGGTGCTCTTGAGCACGGTGTGCTATGTTTATGAAGCTAGTGCAACTCCGGCACCACAGGGGCTAGGCCCCGGTCGTGTGAAGCCACTGAGCACCACGTTGATGCAGTAGAGGCTGTGAGCTAAGAGCTGAAAATGCGACAGAGGGGAAGGGAGAGATGAACGTGTTAAAAAATTGAAGTTTTCAAGTAAGTGGAAGGTTCACATGTTGAGAACATATAAATCTGATGCTTTAAATAGTATGGGTGAAGTAATTTCTACTCCAAGTAAGGCCCTATAAACCACAGAAAACTCCTGGGCAAGGTGGTTTTACTGCAAAGCTAATTTCCAATCTTGATGAACCTGGGCTTTTACTGCAAAGTAAATTTCTAATCTTGAAGAAACCAAATGCCATCATCTTCATTTATTTCAAAATATGAAAGAAAAAAAGTGCCACACATAAAGCTTCCAAAGATCAGCGAATACTATTGTAACTGAAACTTGAGGGTGATCTTAAACCAAAACCTTTCCTGGTATATTATTCCAGAAGCCCCAGGGCCCTTAGATAGTGAAGAGCACATTGTTCAATGGTGTTCAGATCATATATGCAGGGAAGTCTACTGTACAAGGCTTCTTTGACTAAAGATGTTTCTGGAAATCCTCCTAGAGTTTTCAGTTACAAATAATATTTGTGTGGTCTTTGGGCTTGTCAAAAGCCCATCGTTATTTTAGGCGACACTCCAAGGAGTAAGAGTAAACTTCATGACACATTAGTATCATGGTGGGTGCTGATGGCAGTACCTCGATGAAGGATTTATGGAAGGTTTTTTTTTTTACTAAGAAGGCTTTTTTCTACTAAGATGTACTGATTAGGCTTTTTTTTTAAAAAAAGTGCCACCATAAATGATGAATGAAATAGGGAAGAAATGGTCCCTATGATTTTTCCTTTCAGGGTTCTGAGAAAGTGAAATCTTTTATTTTGTTCATAAGGAGCCTGGATTAAGCAGTGTGGCCAGTAAAAGATTGTCGAGCCATCAGCATCACGGAAGAAGAGCCAGCAACTTACCATCCTGCCTTCTCTCTTACTAAGGAAAGAGCTCACTACTAACAAATGCACTCAAATCGATGGTCATTATTGGTTTGAGGCCGGGGAGGACTCGATCACCAAATCTCTAAAATCTAGATCATGCAGACATACCAAGAGCAGCATCACAACATGAATAGAAGCACTGCGTTTACAACACAAAACTACAAGCAGAGTCTTATGTCAGGAGCTGTAAGACCACAGGCCAAGGGATGCCCGTTTTGGTTTCTTCAACCCAACTGTTAACATTTTGTGGTTCAAAATGTTAACATATTTGGCTGCTAACTGAAAGTTTGGAGATTCAAGTTCACCCAAAGGCATCTTAGAAAAAAGGCCTGTGATGTTTCTGAAAATCAGCCACTGAAAGTCTTAGGGTACACAGCTCTACCCAGACGTACACAGGGTAGCTGTAAGTTGCAATCAACTCAACGGCAACCAGTTGGTAGGTAGGTACTGTGTGCAGAGACAGGTCACAGTTGTCTACTTCTGAAGTCTTGAGTGTCAAGAAGAAGACTGCCCACCAGTTTCTTGAGTTCACACTGGATGATCTCAGACATTCGGTGCTTCCCTCCTGCCTTCATTCATTCACGCACTCTTTTGTATTCTCCCCAACCATCACACAGCAACTGTCCCCTCTGCCCACCTCCCTCCTCTTGCTGCCAAACACCCCTCATGAAACTCTTCACTGGTATGTAACCAACAAAAAGGCTTTATTATATTTTATTAAATTTTAATTGCATTCATTATGTATCTTCAAACATATTATTTCACCACTTTTATAACAAGTTCACTGGTGTGAGATGTTGTTTTTATCTGATACTGTATAATATTTGTAGGAGCTCTGGTGGCGTAGTGCCTAAGGTATCTGACTGCTAACCAGAAGGATGGCGGTTCAAACCCACCACCCATTCCTCAGAAGGAAAATAGAGCAATCTACTTCCATAGAGATACCACCTCAGAAAACTGAGGAGGGGTGGCTATGAGTTGGGTTTGACTCAATGGCAATGAGTTTAGGTTTGTTTTATTTTTAGTATAATATTTGTACTGATATGAACATGCCCTCTGATGAGATCAGAGTTAAATAATTATGATACTTGACATTTTACATGACATAGACGTCCTTGGTAGATGTCCAGTGGATTTTTAAGTGTTCAAGTAATTGTTTGAAGTTCTTAGATAAGCTGAGACACACTATTATAGTTTCCATTTAAAATATAGAATAGGGTTCTCAACCCCCAAATTCACTCTTCAATATGCTTTTAGGAATGAACTAGATGTGAGTAGCAAAGAGACACTGTGAACGAATGTGCTTTGTAAACTATAATTTGCAGATCAACATAAACTATTATCATTTTCAAGTAAATGCAGAGTAAGAGAATTTCTCTGGCTAGAAGAGTCCTCTCAGGAGTCATCTTATCCAACCTCCTCATCTGATGGATGAGGACTCAGACTGAGGCTCAGCCAGCGAGTCAGAACCACAGGTGCTGCCACAGGGCTTTCTTCTCCCTATGTCAATTCTGTCTGTTAAAACACTAACAGTAGCTCATTTCCTAGGCCCTTTATAACTTTAATAACCTTGTTGTTGTTAGGTGCCATCGAGTTGGCTCCAACTCACAGCAACCCTGTGTACAACAGAATGAAACCTTGCTTAGTCCTGCACTATCCTCACAATCCTCGTTATGCTTGAGCCCATTACAATAAAGGGACTATTTATCTAGCCTGGAACTTGGCACATCGTAGGCAACTCACTAAGTATTTGTTAATGAAGTCAGACATGTGGGGTTGAGTCGTTAAAGTTCATCTTGGTCACTTCTCTCTCGTGAAGAAACCCATCGGCTTAGAATCACCTCCTGAAACAAAGTAAAACAAGAAGGCAACTGAAATTCAAAGACAGAAAGGAAAGAACCTCCCAAGCATTAGACATCACAGCTCCACAGAGAACCCTAGGAGGCAGGTGAGGGCTGCAGGGAGGGAGTGTGTCAGCAGGAGCAGTTCGGGTCTCTGGGGATCAGAACTAGAGGGGCCTGTCAGGAGGCGTTCACAGGCAGTCTTGAAAAGAGTGGTGTCAGCTGAGAGATGAGGATGGAACCCAGACTGCATGCCCCTAAAGCAGCAGCAGGAAGTTAAGGGCCAGTAAGAGACAAGATAGACTGCGTGCGCAGTGAGTCAGTGGGGAATAAAGAGGTACGCTTATGGAGCCTGGGAAGGCTTTCTGTTCCAAGGCAATACCGCTTTCATATCTTTTCTTGGAATCACATATTTCAGATGACTCAATATAAGGTACATCCTTTGGGATGACATTGCTTTGTCTCTGAGTTTACCTACCTGAACTTTAATTCTTTTCATACATTCTGGTGACTCCATTTCTTCATCTGTCATGGTAGAGGGTTTAATCAAATAGCACAGCATAAGTTCCTAGTGAAAAAAAAAAAAAAAAAAAAAAAAGCTTCATATATCCAGTAATGATAGTGCAAATGTGGGTGTCGGCAGGAAAGGCAGGCAGCCTCCATCCGCTCTCACTGTGTGTTCCTGGAAACCTCACAGATTGGAAACCCAACAGGCAATCAGTTTCTCCCAGGAACATTACAACTGCAGCTCAAATACTTGACTAAAGAGTTGCCATTTAGTAATCACTGACATGACAAAAGAATGTAAACAACAACAACAACAAATAGATATATAGATATATAGATATATAGATCATGAAGTTAGTATCTAAAATATAAACTAATGCCACAAGTCCCATAAAATGAGCATCAGGATACTAGAAACAGTGCACTCACTGTTTCCGAGATGAAGCTAGCTGTTACAGATTAAAAACTAAGCAAATTTACCTGCGCTCAAGACCAGCCATCATCCAGCCCTGCCAGACCTCTGCACTCACCTCCCACCACACCTCTAGCAGCAGCGGCAGAAATAGCTGGAGGGCCCATCATCTGTTAACAGTCAGCAAAGTGCTGAATGATGGAGAACATACCAAGCTTTCATTCTTAACAGTCCTGGTGGAAGAAGGAATTTCCCTCCTCCTTGATGGCAGCTCTGGTGGTGTAGTGCTTAAGGCATTCAACTGCTAACCAGAAGGCTAGCAGTTCAAACCCACCAGCCACTCCTCAGAAGGAAAACTGGGCAATGTACTTAGGTAGAGATGCTGCCTTGGAAACCCAAGGAGGGGTCACTATGAGTTGGGAATCAACATGATGGCAGTGAGGTGTTTTTTTAGGATTTTTGATGGCAGCAGGTGTTGGTAAAACACAGTCAGACAGACTTGGGTTTAAATCCACTTTTGCACATGAACTGCAGTCTGAGTCAACTCAACACCTCTGAACTTCCAATTCTCCATCCTTAGGATGGGGAAAATAACAGGGTGGTTATAAGGTTCAAGAGTCCCTGGGTGGCACAAACAGTTAATGCACTCGGCTACTAACAGAAAGGTCAGCAGTTCGAGTCCACTCAGAGGCTCTGCAGAACAAAGGCCTGGTGATCTACTTCCAAAACTCAGTCACTGAAAACTCTATGGAGCACAGTTCTCCTCTGACACACACGGATCACCATGCATCCCAGTCGACTCCACAGCAACTGGCAGTAAGAGGTGCAAATGAGAGAAAACACGTAAAGTGTTTAGCAGTAATATTAATACCCTTCCTTTCTCTCCACAGAAGTGGCAAACTTTTTTTTTTTTTTTTTTGGGGGGGGGTGCAGTTTCTATTACTAGGCACAGACTGTATGTTTATGAAAACAGTCGTGCCATACATTTTAATTCTAACTTATATTTTCACATCACAGGTCTCAAATAAAATGAGACAAATCACTTATTCATCTCAGAGAACAAAGGGAGAGTAAAGTTACAACCCCAAGATCAAAGAAAACATATTTCAATTGTAAGGATCTGCAAACTTTGTAAAGAAATGTGTATGAGTTTTGCCTCTCTGAATCCATGTTTAAAAGCATGTCTGTGCATGTGGTAGCTGTGCTTACAAATTGCAACAGAAAATCTATGTAAGGAAACCCCATAGAAGTAACTCCAAAGTTTAATAGTCAAAGCTTAGCAGCAACCAGTGGGTGGAAGGGAACACTACAGTATAGCATGAGCCAGAACTTGTAGCCCAACAGGAGGGATGCAAAAGACCCCAATACTCTCAGAATTTCACCTGCAGGAACACTATGAAGTTTCTACAAATGCCTTTTCTGATTCCACATTAAAATAAACAAACCCCTTAGCCACTTCAGTGACACTTAAAAGCTAAAGCTAATGCTTTGTTACCTTAGAGACATTAACTGAAACTCTGCTTAGGGCAGCCAGTGACTTCCAACTGAAAGGTCTTCGAAGGGAGCCTTCAAAGAGGTCGTCAACTAACTCGATAATGACAGAGTAACTGGAAAACACACAAAGGGGCAGTTTAAAAATAAAAAGCATGAAATCAATCCATTTAAGCAGAATACTGGTTGTTCTACTAAGAACACAGATAGAGAATATAAAATTCACATCATCTAAATTCCCCTAGGGTACTACTGAGCAAATACTAATGAAAAACTCACATGTTAAGTTATAAACGTTCAGGCTGATTTCAATACTTCAGGAAAGGAACATAAATATTTTTCCCAATACGAAAGCTATCAATTCACTCCATTCTTTAGGAACTAGTGCTCACTGAAATGAACAATTACTGTGTAGTAATTTACTCAATGGGAGCTCTGGTAGCATAGTGGCTAAGGCACTTGACTGCTAACCAGAAGGCTGGCGGTTCAAATCCACCAGCCACTCCTCGGAAGGAAGATGGGGCAATCTACTTCCGTAGTGATACTGCCTTGGAAACCCAAAGAGGGGTCGCTATGAGTCGGGTCCGACTCGACGGCACATAACAACAACAACATAACAACAATCTACTCAATGCTCAATACTAAAACACCTATCATCACCTATATATTATCATCTTAGGAGCTCTGGTGGTACAGTGCCTAAGGCATTTAACTACTAACCAGAAGGCTTGCAGTTCGAACCCATCAGCTGCTCCGCAAAAGGAAGATGCGGCGATCTACTTCCATAAAGATTCACTGCCTCAGAAACCCAAAAAGGGTTTCTATGAGTCGGAATTGACTTGCTGACAATAGGTTTTTTTTTTCTTTTGGTTATATAATGTATGTAAAAGACATTCAGTATCTATCCTAGTCAAGCCAAGAGGAACACAACTTTGTTTCTATGACACTGACAACAAAATTAGAGGCCATAAATTTCCTCTTGTCCCTTAAGGCCATTAACTTATTTAAAAATCACTCCAAACCTTGCATGGTAAAACGGAGGGCCTTTCCGATACAGCACTGTAAAGAAAAACAAAAAAGGGGAAAAAAAATGTGTAATCACTCAAAATCAAAAGCTTACACTATTACTTTATTTTTTCCTTCTCCAAAGGGAGGCAAACACCCAATTATTTGTATGTGGATAATCAACAATATGCTCTGAGGTTTATTTTTAAAACTCAAAACTGTTTTTTTCCCCTGAAATAAAATGCAATTAGTAATGCAAATCTGTTGCTAAAACCATGACCCCTACCCCCACCCCACAAATGAATTCCAAAGTCAAGTACAAGGATTCCTGTCTTGCCTCTTGCCTTACACTATTGAGAGTGAGTGTGAAGCATCGTGGGGGTCAGCATTTTTGTTATTCATTTCAAATGAATGTTAAGTAATTTAAAGTGTTTGGGTGGATACTATGGCCAGGACAGGTATTCATGCTAGAGATGAACAAGACTCATGCCTTTTTAAGAAATTCAAAGTCCAGTTGGGGAAAAAAAAAAAAATAATAGAACTATACATGCCATTTCAGAATCAGTCCATCCCATTACAGAGGAGCAGCATGATCACAGAGGTCAAGAGCCACTTGGGTAAGGATTTGGCACATGGAACCTGGAACTGTGCTTGGGAACCCTTTACATACATATCATACCAGTTGCTGTTGACTCTGACATATGCGACCCCATGTGTGTTGGGACTATCCCTGTGCTCCACAAGATTTTCAATGGCCGATTTTCAGAAGTAGATCACCAGGCCTTCCTTCTGAGGTGCCTCTGGTGGGACTTGAACCTCTGGCCTCTCAGTTAGCAGAGGGGCAAGTTAACTAGTTTCACCATCTGAGGACTCCAGGGAACCCTTTGGAGGCCCACAATTTGTGCAGGGACTGGCTACTTGCTCAATAAACCTTTTTCTTCCTTCTCCTGGGTACTCAGTTAGACTACTAAGGCTACTAAGCAGCTGGGTGTGGCATGTGTCTGGGTTCCAGCCAGTGCAATGGGCTGAAGGGCCACGCGTTACTTCCAGGCTGGTCTATAAAACCTCCCAGGTGCAAAGCTCACTCCTTTTCGAGGGTGACCCAGGAAGTCCCGCGTGGAACACTGTGGAGCCACAGAAAGCAGCCCGAGCTCCTGAAGCACCTTTTAGAGGAGGGACTTCACATGATCCAAAAGTGGCCTTCTATTTATTATATTATGCCCTTGATCTTTGGGGATTATCTTTAACTACAGCTCGCATTCCTTTAACTAATACACAATTACATCTGTAAGCACTTAGCGGTCCCCTCTGAGAAGTGCCCATGCAGGAGAGTTCAAGAAAAGCATTATTTCTTTTTATTCATATTACTCCTATAACTAATCAAGTTTTTCCTTTTTGGCTCAGGAACCTCAGACCCAAATGTGTAGCATGAGTTTAGTACTACAGGGGACCCCATGGACTACACTGGAACCCTTTACCTAGTCTTGTTTTGTTAGGCTATGTTTTCCATGGTCATGTTTCCTTTTCATGGCTGTATTTCCAATTTAAACTGTATTTAAGCTATCTGGCAGGTCAGCTCAAATACACTGTGTACAGGAACAAATGTAAATCAATATGCAAACATATACTCCTCAATTTTTTGAGATGTACTTCAATGGAATGAATCACAGTGCTAGAATGAAATAGAATGAAATTGAAATTCAGGTTGCTTCCTGTCCATTGCTAGCTGTGTGACTTCAGGCAAGTTATTAACTTCTCTGAGCCTCAGTTTCCAAAATGATTAAATGAAGACATCAGGGAAAATGAAATTCTTTTCTAGCTCTAAAATACCATTATGTATAATCAAATTGTACATCTATAATAATGTTAATATAACATATAATACAACTTGTGGAATATTACATACTTTGAAAGCAGCTCATACAATTCAGGTCATTTCTGATGACCAATTATGCTAGAAAAGGACATCTTGCCGGTAGAGGGTCACAAGGGAAACCCTCAGTAGATGGATTGACACAACAGCCGCAACAATGGACTGGGACATGTGAACTATTGTGAGGATGGCACAGGACTGGGCAACATTTTGTTCTGTTATACATAAGGTCTCCATGAGCCAGAGCTGACTCGATGGCCAACAACAACAACAAATTATGATGGTGGTATAACTTATAAGTTAAAAGCATGAATGTTGGCATCAGACACTCCACTGAAGACAGTGACAGGCCTGAAAGGGGCTCAACAGCAGAGCTGGTAGCAAAAGATGGCAGGGCCAAGAGAAGCCTATCCTGAGAAGGCCTGGAGGAACCTGACCTTAGGTGGCCAAGAGGAGCCTGTCCGCAGGGGACTGAGAGGAAGCCTGTACAGCCAACAGGAGCTAAGAGCCATCCTGCATTGAAGACAGGAGACTTTGCCAACATGCTTCTTGATCTGATTACTTGTAGCCCATTGGGCCCGATCCCAAGTTATACCCTTTTCCTTAACAAACCACTTAACTATAAGTATGACCTGTGAGTTCTGTAGCCATTGCAAGGGGTATCAAACCCAGAGGGGAAAGAGAGGGTTGGATGATGTCAGAATGGTAGCAACATTGGTGAGGAGAGGCAAGTCTGATCTCCACCTCATAGGGATCCAGCCTTGGGCTGATCTTGATTTCCATTATTCCACCTTGAAGTTAAACAAGATCTGATGCCACCATTATACATGGCCACAAACTAAGGAATGCCTGGGGCCATCATGAGCTGAAAAAAGCTAGGAACAGAGTCTCCCTGAGGGCCTTCAGTGGCAGCAGCCCTGCCAACACCTTGATTTTGGACTTCTGGCCTCCAGTGAGAGAATACATTTTTGTCGCTTTAAGTCCCAAGTTTATGGTTCTGTGTTATGGAGTCTTAGGACACTAAAAGAGAGACATAACAATGAAATTAACCTTGACTACAACCCATATCCAAAATAAAAGGAAAAAACCTATAAAAAACCTCAAAAACAAAAAATAAAAGCAGTCACAAGACATTTTGGGGAAAGCTGGGAAAGGTTAAATATGGACTACATATCTAGACGATCTTATTAATTTTTGTTTTCTTAGGTATTACTCTAAAAAGCCCTGGTGGCACAGTGGTTCCATGCTTGGCCACTAACCAAAGGTCAGCAGTTTGAACCACCAGCCATACTGTGGGAAAAAGATGTGGCAGTCCGCTTCCATACAGATTTATAGCTTTGGCAACCCAATGGGGGTATTCTACCCTGTCCTACAGGGTTGCTATGAGTCACAATCGACTTGATGGCAGTGGGTTTGGTGTGGTTCAGGTGCTATATGATACTACAATTCTACAGAAGAATATCCCTGTTCTTAGGAGCTACATGCACAAGTCCTTATGAATTAAGTATAGCATGTGTGCAGACGTGGAAAACGTTAACAAAAACAGTTAAGAGGTTTGAGTAGAAAAATAAGCCAAGCAGTGTTTTAGGTCAGAACCAAAGGAGTAAAAAGAAGGTATATCCCATTTACTCCGTGATGGACACGCAGCTGTACTGCTGCCTTCCCTGATGTGGGGACCAGCTCTGTCTCGGGGCTGGATGTCAGAGATGGTAAGGGGCCTTTCAACTCTAGCAGTCCTGTCACTCTACTGCTTCTCATGGCTCCTGTCATTCGACTTCTGTTTTGAGACTTGTAATTTACAGGGAGTTGAGAAGTCACAAAAAACGGAGTGGGGTGGGAAAGACTAGCACTCTGGGTCAACCCAAATCAATTCAACCAAACTGTATGCTTAAAACAAAAATACAAATCCCAAGTTGTTTGTTAGCTTCTTGGCTAGCTAAACTAGTTAGATGTAGCTTTGGATCTAAGCACTGTGACCTCTGGAACTAGACAGCCCTAGTTGTGCGACAACAGGCAATTTGCTATTAGTTGTTGTTGACTCACGGTAACACTGTGTAGAACAAAACAAAACACTGCCCAATCCTGCACCATCTTCATGACTGTTTTCATGTTTGAATCTACTCTACTGTGTATCTTCAGTGCCTTCCAACCTAGGGGGCTCATCTCTATTGGGTAATATTCTGCTGTGATCCATAGGGTTCTGGAAGTAAATCGCCAGGCTTTTCATTCTAGTCTCTTAGTCTGGAAGCTCTACTGAAACTGTTCACCATAGACCCTGCTGGTGTTTGAAACACCAGTGGCATAGCCTCCAGCATCAGAGCAACATGCAAGCCACAGCAGTACAACAAACCGGCAGATGGGTGATGGCTAGATTCCAACTTTTTTCTAAGCCTCAACTTCTGCAGCTTTAACATGAGGCGAATATTACGTACACCTCCTAGCAGTGTGAAGATTACATGAGGCAAAAGAAGAAAAGCACCTGAGCAAGGCACCTGGCTCACCAAAGAGCTGGGCAGCCATGCAAGCTTTTGAGCGGAGAATACAACAAGGGGCTCCCTCCTCGCTGCTAGTCTGGCTTTCACCAGGAAGGTGATCAAGGTCACCTGGCTTGGCAAGTGCACTTGATATGAAATCCACATTACTCTTTCCAAGTACTGCTCCTGGAATGAAATTTGATAGACAAGATTCATTCAAGGGAAGCACTTCCGTGATAAGAAGTGACTTTCATAATGGTCCTTTATCTGAAGTCATTACCTCTATAAGGAGAAATGATTGTTAAGAGACTAGACTGTCCTGGGTTTAATCTGTGTTGGCAATTCTAGGGTGGTTGTTGTTGTTGTTATATGCCTTAAGTCGGACCCGACTCATAGTGACCCCTCCTTGGGTTTCTGAGGCAGCATCACTATGGAAGTGGATTGCCCCATCTTCCTTCCGAGGAGTGGCTGGTGGGTTTGAACCGCCAGCCTTCTGGTTAGCAGTCAAGTGCCTTAGGCACTATGCTACCAGACCTCCCATGTGATTAGGTCACTGGCCTTCAAAATTAAGATAGTATATTTTAAAAAATCAGCAAGCACTATGCAGCTTGCCTAGAGAAAAAGCAACGTCTAAGAAGCTGATCCTCATAGTCCAGGCTAGCATTGTTTACGACCTCTTGCCAAAGCCGAAAATGTGAAGACACCCA